CCAAAAAAAAAAAAAAAAGAGAGAGAGAGAGAGAAGCCATTCTATTAATTCTTGTATCAATTGTAAGTTACTCTCTGATTGTACTGCTATCTCCAAGTTTCTCTTAATTCATAGCATTGACTAGTAATCAAGGAAATGCAACTTAAAACCACAATAAAGTATACTTTCACATCTTAAAATCAGCAAACAAATTATAAAAGTCTGACAATATCATGTATCAGATAGAATGAGAAGCAAAAAGAATCCTTCGCTGTTGCAGGGAGCATAAATTGGTACTAACATTTTAGAAAACAATTTCTCACCATCTAGTAATGTTGAGAATATGCATATTCTACAACCTAGCCATTCCACAGCTGGGCATGTACTCTGGAGAAACTCTTGAATTGGTACACAAGTAAACAAGTACAAGAATGTTTTTGTGTTGTTTGTATTAGAAAAAAATGGAGAGAATATAACTATCAGTGGGAAAGAGCTAAATGAATTATAACATATTTATATGAGGGACATTTTCAAATAATAAGATAAGAATAAAATAAAGTTGCTTAAATTAGAAAACAGATCTCACAAAAACAACTATGAACAAAAAAGCAAGCTGAACAGCAATGCATATGCTTCAATAAATTGTTGTGATAATATAATGTCTTGAATCATATATATGACTTGGAATTTTCCTCTGTTAATTAGAACATATTCTGGAGGCAAATACTCCTGCTCCCAATCCCCGTGCTGGGAGGTGATGGGTGGAAGCATGAAGGAAGAAAAATAATCCCAGCTGTTACATAAGCTCTCATTTAGTTAATTAATTGGATTAACATCCCACAACCTACTCCTCTTCCCACACATGCTTCCTCTGAGTTTGTTTGATACAGTGATTAAGAGCATGTCACACATAGATGGCCTAGATTTAAAGCCCTTCTTCTTGTGTTTTCAGCATTTTACTTAATTATTCTGGGTATCAACTTTCTCACTGAAAAAAATGCAGTTAACAAGATTTACTTTTCATTAACATTGTGGTAATAAGCAACTTAATCTAGGTAAAACTTAGTGCCTGGTAAATAAGTACTACATAAATGGTAGTGATTATGGAGCCTCTCACAGTTTCTACTGGAAAGAATACCTCCCATCTCTGCTCCAGGCTTCTCTCATCTGTTCTGGGGCATGGTTTCTACTCTGGTTTTTCAAGATGCTCCCATGCAAATTCCGTATTTCAGAAATTTCATTGAAATCTAGTCCACGGGTAGGTGAAGACTTCTTAGATATGATACCAAAAGCACAAACAAAATAAAAACAATAAAATGTACTTTATCAAAATTAAAACTTTTATACTTCAGGGGAAACCATCAATAAAGTTAAAAGACAATGCCTTGAAAGAAAATATTTACAACTCATTTATCTGATAAGAGTATTGTATATAGAATATATAAAGAATTCTCACAGCTCAGTAGGAACACGAAATGGGCAATGGATCTAAATAGATTTATCCAAAGAAAATATACAAATGGCCAATGGGTATATTAAAAGATGGTCAGTATCATTAGCCAGATGGTCAATAATAGGCAAATGTAAACAAAACCACAATGAGATACCACTTCATATCTACTAGAAGGGGTATAACCAAAAAGAGAGTTGGAGAGGATGTCAAGAAACTGGATCCCTCCTACATTACTGGTGAGAATAAAAATTGTTAAATGTGCTTTATAAACAGTTTGGCAGTTACTCAAAATGCCAAAGATAGAATTACCATATGACCCAGCAATCCCACTAAATATATACCCAAGATAAATGAAAACATATGTCCACACAAAAACTTGCATACAAACTTAGATAAAAACATTATTCATGACAGCCAGAAAGTAGAAACAACCCAAATGTCTATCAACTGATGACTGGATAAATAAAATATGGTATTCGTACAATAAAATACTATTGAACAATAAAAACAGAATGAACCACTGAAACATGCTGTACTATGTGTGAACCTTGGAAACGTTACACTGAGAGAATCCAGTTTAAAAAAAATTGTATAATTTCATTTATATGCAATTTCAGAATAGGCAAATCTATAGAGGTGGAAAGTAAATTGGTGGTTGACAAGGGCTGGGAGTGAGGGGAGCTTGAAGCAAAATGGTGAGAGACTGCTGACAGATACAGGAGTTTTTTTTTGGGGGGGTAGTGGTGATGATAAAAACGTTCTAATGTTGATTGTGATGATAATTGTACAACTCTGTGAATATACTCCAAACCATTGGATTTTACATTTCAAATTGATGTATTTTATAGCATATGAATTATATCACAGTCAAACTGCTTTTTAAAAATCTGATGCACAGAACACTTCTCCTTTCTCAGGGCTGTCATGGATTTAGTCCTTTTATATAACTTTCTTACCACTTCAATGAGATTTTTGAAAGGGGTAGCAAATGTGCTTGCTCAGTCCACTCTTGATTCAGAAGCTTTGGAGGGATTATTTTTAAAAAGAACTGCCCCAAAAATATACAGAGGACACACAGAAGTTATTGAACTATATACGTCACACAGGAAATGCAGATGAGTTCATACAAAAAAAAAAAAAAAAAAGCGTGAGTCACGGGTGAGGGAAAAGAAAACCAGTTTGGTTTGTTATTTCTCTAAGGTGTAAGACAACTTAATGAGAACTTGTTGGTTTGTTATTTCTCTAAGGCGTAAGGCAACTTAATGAGAGAACTTGTCCTCACAACTCTGTGATTCTCAAAAAGTACAACATGGTTTTAAGGAGTTTTCTGTTGAAATATGTAACAGAAAGTTAAAAATGAAGGAGGAGCCTTTCCTAACTCCACTGGCTGCGGCATCTGTGGGAAAGTGTGGCTGGGTCTTCGAGGAGCCGCACCAGTGGCCTCTGTGCTGTCCTACGAAAGCCTGGTCCACGCCGTGGCCAGAGCCAGAAGCGTGACAGCAATGACAGTTTTTTCCCCTGGATACAGCTAGACTTCAACTTCAGGTTGGTGAGAAAAGAAAATCCAAAACTACACACATGGTACTCCTGGAGATCATTAAAGAAGAAGGACTCCTGGCACCATATCGAGAGTGGTTTCCAGTGATTTCCAGTCTCTGCTGCTCCAATTTTGTCTATTTCTACACTTTTAATAGCCTCAAAGCAGTCTGGGTCAAAGGTCAACGTTCTACCACTGGAAAACATCTGGTAGTTGGGTTTGTTGCAGGAGTAGTTAAGGTGTTACTAACAACTCCACTCTGGGTGGTAAACACCAGACTGAAGCTGCAAGGGGCAAAATTTAGGAATGAAGACATTGTACCAATGAACTACAAAGGTATCATTGATGCTTTTCATCAGATCATTCGAGATGAAGGAATCTCGGCTTTATGGAATGGCACAGTTCCCTCATTGCTGTTGGTCTTCAATCTTGCCATCCAGTTCATGTTTTATGAAGGTTTAAAATGGCAGCTTTTAAAGAAACAGATGAAGCTTTCTTCCTTGGATGTGTTCATCATTGGTGCAGTAGCCAAAGCGACTGCCACCAGGCTCACCTATCCCATGCACACAGTACAGTCAATTCTGAGGTTTGGGCATCATAGACTAAACCCAGAAAACAGAACATTGGGAAATCTTTGGAATACTCTCTATCTTCTTCACGAACGAGTAAGGCGCTTTGGAATACTGGGACTCTACAAAGGCCTGGAAGCCAAACTGCTACAGACAGTCCTCACTGCTGCTCTCATGTTCCTTGTTTATGAGAAACTGACAGCTGCCACCTTCACAGTTGTGGGGCTGAAGCGTGCACACAAACACTGAGACTCCTTCCCATGAAAAATTCCGAAGATTCTCAAGAGGGAGGTTTCCTCGTGAGTGAAGAGAAGTGATTCTCCTTTGACTCTGGCTCCTGCCACCACAAATGTTACCCTCATTGGCTTGAAAAGCATCCAAGGGTGAACAGGGAGTTTGGCCAACTGGACCTGTTGTCACCTTGTCATGCTGACTGGTTGGATTTTGGGGTGGCAGTTGTACGAATATGAAAAAAAAACCTTGTTGAAAACCTAAAAATGAAAGTTTGTGTTTATTGGTTTTCTTAAGAGAAATGGACTATTTTGCTCTCATGTGTAATATTTTCTATTTAAATTTTTCTTAAATATACCAGCTGTTTTCTTTCCCTGAACCCTCCCCCAGGTTCTAGGACAATTTAATAACATGTAATTCTCCTCAAATACTTTTGTATGTCTCAGTGTTGGTGTTTTCCTCCCTAAAACTAACATTAGGGCTGTGCCATGGGCATGGCTTGACTTTTGTTGGGCTTTTGTTTTCCTGCTTAAGGAGAGATGTCTTTTTAGGATATGAGAGATTTATTTTGTGAAATGAAAATTGCTCATCCAAAATGATTCTCTTATAAACTATTGGTAAATGTCACTTATTCATTAGTGTTTGACATAATTTTTAGAATATTTACTTTGAATCAATCCTTTCATTATGAAAGACTTGAAGTTTTGTGTCCATCCTTACAAGCCCTGGTCAGTCAAGTCCCAGTAAATGGTCAGCACAAAAAAAAAAAAAAAAAAAAAAAAAAAAGGAGGAGGAGATACCAGGGCTGATATGTGTATTGTTCTCATAATAGTATACACAATTAAGGGAGCTTGGACTCATCCAAGAATGTTTCAGGGGGGTGACTATGGGACCTCTAACATGTAGAGGGGTGAAGGGGGCCAAAACCCTCTTATTCTCCTATAGTAACCAGAGTACTTTCAAATCCAAAGACTTCTCAGCATTTTTATGCCTATCTTAAAACTTTAATTGATAAGATTTCACATCTCAGACTCTAGATTCTTGCAGTTAGTGACATTACTCCTCTTTCACATGCTGCCTGAATTCCTCTCTTATCCACTAACAAGTGGTCATCTAACCTCTGTTTCAATACTTACAGTGATAGGGAGTTCACTACCTTACAAAACATCTCACTCTATATTTGTGCAGCATGGTTGGCTAGAAAATTCTTCCTCACATTGAGACAAACTCAGTTTTTCTGTAACATCGACATATGTAGTCCTAGAGAGACTTTTGTTTCTACCCAAAATAGGCTCGTATGACCTTTTCCACATAGTAACCTTCTTGAAGGCAATTATCATGGATTTTTCAACATCTCCTCTAGGCTAAGCATCAGAAGTTTCTTCAGTGGTCCCTTATGTGACATGGCTTTAAGAAGTTCATGGCCATCTTGGTTATTCTTAAATTCTCTGGTAGCTAAGCCAAGTTTATTTCCACATGCAAAAAAGATGGATGGGTGGTAAGGCCTATGGTCCTGAACTAGTAAATTAATTAACATATGTGAAAGTATTTTTACAACTTAAAACACTTTGTAAACATAAGATACTGTTAAAACATATCTACTTCATAGAAGGCAACTTAGCAAAGCATATTAGAAACTTGCAACTCAAAATATGGTCTAAGGATACACCTGGCATCACTTGGAAGCTTGCAAGAAACAATTTCAGGCCCACCTCGTATCCATTAAATCCCACCTGCATTTTGACAAGATCTCCAAGTGTTTTGTTTGCACATTAAAGTCTGAGGAGCTTTGTAAGCTTAAAAATGTGCAAACACTTTCATTAAGCAGTCCTCGTCTTTAGGTATTTATCCTGAGAAAATGATTAGGTTACGTACACAGCATTTTTATAACAGCAAAAGCTTACAAAGAACTTAAAGGTCTACTAATAGAAAATTGGCGAAGGTGCTTTATGGTTCATCTATGGATACACCATTTGCCAGCCAAGGCTAACTCTATAAAGCAAACTGGTTCTTCTCAACTGGTGCTAGTGCCTAGAAGATGCCTGCTCCTCAGTTGATGCATGCTACCATGAACACAGGTGTATGTTTACCTGACACAAAAGGGCGTTAATATCCCCACATCAGTTATCCCTGGAGGAGAACTAAGCCATCTGCCTCAATCATCTTTTAAGGGTTCAGTCAGTTTAAAATTTGCTTCTATACCTCGGTATTTTCTTTTCTCTGTAGGATGGTCAGGCACAATTATTTTTAACAGGGCTTCCATCAATGTAACTAACTAGAGAAGACACTGCAAAGATAAAGTTGGAGAATTGTTAACAGGTTATTAACAAAATGTGTACCCGACTGTCAATGAAGTTGCTTGATTTTTTTCTTTCTTTAAAATTTTTCTTTTGTATCCTTTGTACTTATTTTTTAGAGACAGGGTCTTACTGTTACCCAGGCTGGAGTGCAATGGCACAATCATAGCTTGCTGCAGTCTCGACCTCCAGAGCCTCGAGCAATCCTCCCACCTCAACCTCCCAAGTAGCTGAGACTACAAGTGTATGCTGCCATGGCTGGCTGATTTTGTTTTGTTTTTTGTAGAGATGAGGTCTCACTGTGTTGCCCAGGCTGACCTTGAACTTCTAGGCTCAAACAATACACCACCCTGGCCTCCCAAACTGCTGGGATTACAGGCATGAGCCACTGTGCCTGGCCTTTTTTCATTTTAACTGAGAAACGTGTTCCGCTCTTTTGTTCCTTAGTCATTGATCATCACTTTTGTTGTATCTGTTAGTGTTGTCTTAGAGTTGCTGCACTTATTACAGAGAGAAGGCCTTTTATCACGACCAAATTTATTTTGGGAAATTTCAGGGAAAATGTTTTTCTAGAACATCTTATTTGACATTATAAAACAACTCTTCGCTCTTGCACTCCAGACCTCCCTTTCCAGTTTTCTTTTTCTCCGTAGTGGTCATCACCACTTGTTTTATTTTATTGATGGACTGTCTAGCTCCCTCAACTGCAAAGTAAACTTCACAAGGGCAGTGTTTTGTCTCTTTTATTCATTGCTGTACCTGCAGTACTTAGAAAGTTTCTGGCATGTAGGAAATGTTCAGTAAATATTTGTTGAATAAATTTATGTAAAATGTCTCAGAGTCCTTAGAGAAACTGGTCTTTCGGATTGGAGAATAAAGTTCTTTACCTCATCAGTTAGACTCGTAAGGTATTCAACGGCTTGCTAGTCTCCTTAGTATGCTAATAACTGAAATTGTTACAAAGGTAATTATTCAGTTCTATATCAAGGCAAAAAGAGAGCAGTGGATAGAAAGATCTTAGAAGTCCCACTAGGTTCATCCAAGCCACCATACACACAGGCAGAAAAATCAAAATAAGGTATGAGTCTGAACAGGGTGAGCAATCTAGGAAAAGATGAACACACTATGCTAGGACCCAGAAATCATCAAGTCTATGAAAACTAAGTCAGAACAGAAATGTGAATTCCATAAGATCAGGGACATAATCTGTCTTGTTCATCCAGGCATGGTAATCTGCCAGAAATAGTGCTTAACTATAAGAACTGAATATTTCTTAGATAATTAAACCACCAACTAAATGAGATTCATGCAACCATGAAAAATCCTGCTATAGGTGCACAATATTGATATACTAGAAAGTTAAAAAATCAAGTTGGAAATTAGACTGCTGTTGCACTTTTGTTTGTGTGTGTGTATATCTATAAATTGGTGGAAGGATATACCAAAACATCAACAGCAGTTACCTCTGGGTGGTGAGATTAGGAGTAATCTTAACCTTCTTGTTATTTATCCCTGTATGTTCATTTGTGAATATTTATTACATCATTATAAAAAGGATTTTTAAACTATCTGTATGAGTATCTATCTGTAAGGATTTTAAACTATCTGTAAGAGTATATGTTGCTACTGTGTAAGAGTATATGCTGTTACTGTAAAGATATTGCATCACTACTGTTGACCTCAGAGCATGCACCTATTGCCTATTTCTAGGACTCCTAGCTAAGTCTTTGGAGCTTCAACTGGAAGAATGCTGGAGGAGACAGAGCTCCTCCCATTTCTCACAGCCACCTCCTACACTTAAAAATGCTTCCAACTGCCTCCCAGCACACAACCAAGGGAGAAAACTATTCTGTCAAGAGACGGTGCCAAAAGGCAAAAACAAAGGTAAGGTTGATCGCTGGGGAAAGCAGCTGAAAAGGAAAAGCTCAGAACTCTAGCTGGAAATTTGGCTCACATACCTAGTATGTTACTGCATAGTCTGGCTTTGTTGAATGCGTCGCTTTTAAATGTTAAAGCTAGATGTAAGCAAGGTGTGCAACAAAGTCCATAAGACAACTCAGCTTTTCTCAAAGGCAAGAAGAGAGCAGGATTTTTGACTGGCTCTTTCTTCAATAGTGCTGCTTATTAAATTACCACTGCTACAACGTTTAAAGCCAATTACCTGACCACATCATAAGGATTCTCTTACCTGTTGTCCTAGTTAAGTAATGCCGATTGATCAACTCCTTGACAGGAACTGATGGCAAAGAAAGTAGCTGTGATCGGAGCTGGGGTCAGTGGCCTCATTTCTCTGAAGTGCTGTGTGGATGAGGGACTTGAGCCCACTTGCTTTGAGAGAACTGAAGATATTGGAGGAGTGTGGAGGTTCAAAGTAAGTGAGATTTTCTTGGGTCTTGAACAGGCTGTGTTATTTCAGGGTGAATCATGGTTACTGATGGGCCATATTGAGAAGTTATTAAACAACTTTGATCAGATTTTATTTCTATTTATTGACGTGGCCATAATGGAACTGAAGTCATAGGCTGGCATCTCTCCCCTGGTCAATACTAACCCAACCCAGGTAGCTGACCCAGTCTGCTTTTGGATTCAGCAATTGTCTTACAGCCTATACTTTTGTCATTCTGTAATACACTAATATTAGAGAACATTTTACAAAAATAGAAGTAGCAGGGATTCTTCAAGATATCACTTCTGCTTCAATTATTGAACCAAATTCTTCTTTAGAGAACATGTTCTTATCATTAGTATTTTTCTCTGACAAATGAACCATGTTTGTTTACTGAGCTTTATCAAAGACAGTCTAGTATAACTGCTGTGAAACTCTTCGTTAAATATGTTTTATTAATTAAAATGTATTCTATTATTCAAACCAAATATTGGTAATTCTAGTTGTATGTATTAGTCCATTCTCATGCTGCTACGAAGAAATACTGAGACTGGGTGATTTATAAAGGAAACAGGTTGAATTGACTCACAATTCCACATGGCTGGGGAGGAACTCAGGAAACTTACAGTCATAGCAATGGGAGAGAGAGGTGCTGAGCAAAGGGGGAAAAGCCCCTTATGAAACCATCATCTCATTAGAACACACTCACTGTCGTGAGAACAGCATGAGGGTAGCTGCCCCCTTGATTCAATTACCTCCCACCGTGTCCTTCCCATGACACATGGCGATTGTGGGAACTACAATTCACGATGAGATTTGGTTGGGGACACAGAGCCGAACCATATCGCTGTCCTTCACAATTTGTATAAAAATTAGAAAGTTGCATAGACAGCTATAAGGATTTATAATTATTCCTTCCCACAACTTCTTAATAGGTAGTAGCTTACCACCTTCTAACTGTGAGATCTTGAGCAAGTTATTTGCATCCTGTGTTTCAGTTTACTCAATTATAAATGGATATAACAACAGGAAATTGTGATTATCTCATAGTGCTATTTTGAAGATTAAGGGACATAATTCATATAAAGAACTTAGATAAGTTTGGGACTCATAATATTCAATAAATGTTAGCTACTAACAATAACTATATATTTTATAGATGAGCAAACTGAAAGTGAGGGAGGTTAAGTGAGATGGCCAGGGCCACACAACTGGAGGAACTGGCCTTCAAACCAGGGCCTCTATGACTTCTAAACAGATAAGCCCTGACTTACAACCATTAAACAAAAAGTTTACGTTCAGAACCCAAAAGCAATGACTTTAGAATTATGTAATCAGGTATCTCTGAGATATTAAAACACATGTGTAAGATATTAAAACACATATGTGAAAGATTAAACAAAAGTTTATGTTCAAAAGTTTAATTATGTAATCAGGTATCTCTGAGATATTAAAACACATAAGAATATTCCAGATGGGAGGAAAAGGTTTGACTACATGAAAATCAAACTCATATCAGCAGAGACCGTACAAAGGGCTCTCACTGCAGGCTGATTAGTCAGGAGGATGGCAAGGTGATCCAGGACCTGCACGTGCTTTGTCAGTTCAAATTTAATCTCATGCCAACTGGGATCTTTTTTAACATTCAGCATTAGGCTTCTCAAGTACATATGACCATAAACCACACCTAGAGGGTTTCTTTTCAATATTTTTTTGAGACAAGGTCCTACTCTATCGCCCAGGCTACCATTCCCAGCCATGCAGAGTTTCTTAAAGATATTGATTTCTTTGGTTATACAAACCTGCCACCAAACAAAAAAAAAAAAAAAATTGATTCGTGGGCACCATCCCAGACCTACTGAATCAAAATCTTCTGGGGGTTTTTAATAAACATCTCAAATGAATCCTATAAGTTTGGTAGTTGTTACACACACACCTAATTTAAAAATCTGATCATTCTACTATCTAAACACACTCAGAGTTAATGATGGAGAAGGGAGAAATGTATTCTTCTGTAAGACAGGTAGCTTTGCAAAAAGGAAAACAGCTTAAATCACATTCATTTCTTATTAAAACCTGGTGATTAACATCATTTTAGCTTTTCCTGGGATGGTGATATAATGTGCTGGTCATTCCTGTCTTAACCAAAGATATTTTTGTCCACTCTAGGTTCACATGTAGATTTCAGTGGGGAATTTTTTGTTTTTGTTTTTGTTTTTTTTGAGACAGAGTCTCCCTCTGTGGCCCAGGCTGGAGTGCAGTGACTTGATCTCCGCTCACCGCAGACTCCGCCTCCCGGGTTCACACCATTCTCCTGCCTCAGCCTCCAAGTAGCTGGGACTACAGGCGCCTGTTACCAGGCCCGGCTAATTTTTTGTATTTTTAGTAGAGACAGGGTTTCACCGTGTTAGCCAGGATGGTCTCGATCTCCTGACCTTGTAATCCTCCCGCCTCAGCCTCCCAAAGTGCTGGGATTACAGGCGTGAGCCACCGCACCCAGCCGGTAGATTCTTAACCTAAACAAGAAATGTAGAAATTACAGTTGTTCCTTGGTATATGCAAGAGATTGGCTCCACAACCTCCCTCCCCCAGTATACCAAAATCCTTGCAAGCTCACATCCCACGGACTTATTGTCAGCAAAAGAGATGAGAGTGAGCTTGAATAGTCTGCCAATAATATGATTTGATGAATTCTAGGAAGGTATTTTCTTCAGTAAAATATTTCTCCAACTATCCTATTGCCAGTATCTAAAATTTCAGATTAGAGATACCTTCCTATTCACTAGAAAAACTGGATTAAAACCTAATTAGACTTTATTGAATATTAAAAGTTAAGTATAACTGTGGAACTTGTAACAGTACCACATTTCAAATTCCTCTTAAAACTATATCCAATAGAGGAATGTAAACTATTGTCTCCACTCAACGAAGTCAAAGAGTGCAAAGAGTCTCCCTTCAGAGTGAAACATAAAATAATCAAAATTTCACAGGCTGCCTGCAGTAGGGCTATGTGAGGGTTTTGGTTACCGGGTGACTGAGTTTCAGGAAGGATGCTGGGAGCCCCATGCTCTTCCCTGGGAAACTGCCTCTTCACTACTCCACCATCCAGAAGTAATGTTTAAAATGGGTTATTAATTTTTATATTTATACAAATCCTTCTGAGATTACTTAACATATTTGGTGGTGACAAAATAACAATAAATAAGTAAATTTAAGAATCCTTGTCCTATGCCCAACCCAGACAATACAGAATTCTTCTAAACTCTCCAGCATCCCCTAGTGGCACATATGGACCATGGGACAGGTAGGTATTTTTAGCTCTTTCTAGCAATGGGAAGCTCTTGGCAAGCATCACCTTCTTTTCTTTGCAATACTGCTAGGAAGTACGTATTATTATTATCGTTATTTACATATTAAGAAGAAACAGTTTTCAGATAAAGAATTTGCTCAGGGGAACATAGGTGGTGGGGAAATAAAATGAGGGTTTACAATTTTGGAGCTCTCACACTTAATAACCTTGCTGAAGTATTGATAGAGGAAAACATGATCATCTTTCAGCCACTAACCTTCGTTGTTTCCTTTATTGTTCCTAATACCTTGTAGTCACGTGGGAGTTACCATGTAC